CCTGTAAATTAACCCAGTGGTCACAATTCCTGCACTGGCATTTAGTGGCCATCTAGGTTACCGGGGAAAAATAACGAAATGAACTCTCACATTATTATTATTATTATAAAGGGTAAGCGCTAAACCCGTAGGATTATACAGCGCCTGGGGAGGGGGATGTGGAAGGCATTCAGGCTTAATTCGGGGAACTGGAGCACAGATCCAATTCCCTAAATCAAGAGCTCCTCACCAATATCAATTATTATTATTATTATAATCAAAAAGAAGCGCTAAGCCACAAGGGCTATACAGCCACCAATATCAAGGAACCTTCCCTGAGGGGTTGAACTCCCACAGGGATCTGGCTTAGAGACAGATTATCCTGTGCAGTTCTGAACTGTCTTTACCGTAGCTTCTCTGGCTGCCAGATGAGTATTTTGTAGGGCTGAGGGAATATCCATGCGTTGTCTTCAGCGCCACTCCTTCGAAGACAGTCCAATGAAAACAAAAGCAGCTCGTTATCGCCCTGAGTTGTCAGCTATTCTTTTATCACCTTAATTTCTTTTCCTTGTATAACATCCTAATATTAATGTCTTAATCTACTTGAATAATCCCAATGTTTAATAATTATTCAAGCCTCCCTAAATTATTCCTGAGGACTAAATTCCTTAAAATACTACGCTGAATTTAAGGTTTGTTAATTAAGGTCTTTCTTGGGGTTTCCAGAAGAAAGATAAGTGCCTTGTACGGCTCTAGACGTGCAATGTGAACTACTAAACACATATTATATACAAACCGTCGGTGGGGATTTTTGGGACTCGACAAATTTCCACACTTCCCCTTAGGATGACTGTGCTGGGCTCTGGCTCCTGGCCGCCTTCAAGTTTACACTAGGCTTCCAACCCGCTTCAACCATAACATTACTCCCTGGCTGATAACTGTGTTCCTGGTTCTTCTCTGTATTTAGACAAATATACTAACTGGTGGTTGCCGCCGCTACGCCAGGAAGCCAAGGAAAGAGACACACAGCGTGTAGACTGCACGAGTTTGAATGATGTCTAGTATGTTGGAACATGTGCACACACCCGGTCACGAAACACGTCACTGGCGGCGATTGTGAAAAAGCACAGAGGGCGGCTCGTGGCCTGGTAGGCAAAGCTCTCCCTTCACACTCTGAGTTCCAATTCAATTCAATTCAATTCAAAGTTTATTCTCTATAAGGATTACAATGCTGAGTTTACAGAATTTGGTTATTGTGTGGTTTACATGTAGTAAAATAATAATTAGAGTGTACCACTAGAACACCTAGCATGGCTAGGCATTTCGGGCTCCCGGCAAGGGTGAAAACATAGGGCGTGTTTCTTTACACCTGTTGTCCCTGTTCACCCATCAATAAAATGGGTACCTGGGTGTTAGTCGACTACTGTGTGTCGCATCCTGGGAACAAAATTGACCTAATTTACCCGAAATGCTCTGTATAACACGAGGCTTGTTTACCTAGGTGCATGTACTGGCAGAAATAAAGATATTATTATTATTATTATTATTATATTATTATTATTATTATTATTATTATTATTATTATTATTATTATAACTGGATTCAATATGGGGTGATTGAGGAGGAGAGAGTGAGGGTGAGTGGGGGTATTGCCTGGGAGCGTGATATGAGTCAAGGGTTTGTGGATGGGAATGTTGGGTGGTGTTAGTGTGGGGTGGTGGGTTAGTGTGGGGGTGGTGGGTTAGTGGGGAGTGGTGGGTTAGTTGTGGAGTGGTGGGTTAGTGTGGGGGTGGTGGGTTAGTGTGGGAGTGGTGGTTAGTGTGGGAGTGGTGGGTTAGTGTGGGGGTGGTGGGTGTTAAGTGTGGGGGCGGTAGGTTAGTGTGGGATGTGGTGGTTAGTGTGGGGGTGGTGGGTGTTAAGTGTGGGGATGGTGGTTTAGTGTGGGGGTGGTGGGTGTTAAGTGTGGGGGTGGTGGGTTAGTGTGGGAGTGGTGGGTTAGTGTGGGGGTGGTGGGTGTTAAGTGTGGGGGTGGTGGGTTAGTGTGGGGTTGGTGGGTGTTAAGTGTGGGGGTGGTGGGTTAGTGTGGGAGTGGTGGGTTAGTGTGGGGGTAGTGGGTGTTAAGTGTGGGGTGGTGGTGGGTTAGTGTGGGAGTGGTGGGTTAGTGTGGGGGTGGTGGTTGTTAAGTGTGGGGGTGGTAGGTTAGTGTGGGGGTGGTGGGTGTTAAGTGTGGGGGTGGTGGGTGTTAAGTGTGGGGGTGTGGGTTAGTGTGGGGTGGTGGGTTAGTGTGGGAGTGGTGGGTTAGTGTGGGGGGGGTGGGTGTTAAGTGTGGGGGTGGTAGGGTTAGTGTGGGAGTGGTGGGTTAGTGTGGGGGTGGTGGGTGTTAAGTGTGGGGGTGATAGGTTAGTGTGGGAGTGGTGGGTTAGTGTGGGTGTGGGGGTGTTAAGTGTGGGGTGGAGGTAGGTGGGAATGGGGAAAAAGGGGGGGGTTGGGGGTTAAGTTGGGGATGGTAATTTATTTTGGGGTGGTGGGTGTTTAATTTGGGGGTTGGGGTTTGTGTGGGGGGGTTTTAAGTTTTTTATTTTTTTGATTATTGCCTAACTTATTGATGATTTGTGGATAATTTTGGGGGGTTTTAAGTTTTTATTTGTTAGTTGGGGGGGGGGTTTTTAATTTATTATTAGGAGGGGGTGATTTTTTAAGGGGGGGGTGGGGGTTTTTAATTTATTTTAGGTTATTTTTTGGGTTTAATGTTTTGTGGGTTATTTTGGGGGGGTTTTTTTAATTTTTTTATTTTTTTTAATTTTCTTTTTTAGTTTTTTTTTTTTTAATGGGGGGTTTTTTTTTAAATTTTTTTTTTAATTTAGGGGGGGATTATGGGTTTATTTTTTTTCTAATTTTTTTTTTTAGGGTTGGGGTTTTTTTTATTTTCCTAAAAAAACAATTGTATTTAATTTTTATTTTTTTTGGGGGAAATTTATTTTATTTTGGGTTATTTTTGGGGGGTTTTTTTTTTTTTTTTTTTTAAAAATTATTTTTATTAATATTTTAAAATTTTATTAAAAGGTATTTTATTTTGGTTTTTAATTTTTTTTTTAAATTTTTTTTTATTTTTTTGTTAAATTTCTTTTTTTTTTTTTTAATTTTTGGGGTTTTTATTTTTTTTTAATTGGGCTTTTATTTTTTTTATTTTAATTTTGGGGGTTTAAATTTTTAAATTTTTTTAAATTTTATTTTTTATTTTTTTTATTTTTTAAAAGGGGGGTTTTTTCCCCAATTTTTTATTATTTTTTTTTTTAAATTTAAAAATTTTTTAATTTTTTTTATTTTTTTTTCATTTTTTTTTAAAATTTTTTAATTTTTTATTTTTTTTTAATTTTTTATTTTAAATTTTTTTTTAAAAATTTGGGGGGGTTTTTTAAATTTTTTAAAATTTTCCATTTTTTATTTTTAAAAAATTTTTATTTTAAGCTGGGGTTTTTATTTTTCCCCCCGTTTTTAAATTTTTCAATTTTTTTTTTTAAATTTTTTTTTTAAAATTTTTTAAATATTTTTTATTTAATATATTTTATTTTTAAAATTTATTTTTAAATGTTTTAAAAATATTTTTTAATAATTTTTATTATTTAAAAAAAGTTTTACATTAATTTTTTTTTTTCTCTTTTTATTTAAAAAAATTTTAACACCAAACTTTTTAAAAAAAATTTTAAAAAACCCAAAAATATACCCATCAAAACCCCCCTGGAACCCCATATCCCCCCAAAACCTTTTTCCCCTTCCCCCCCCTGAAATTCCCCTTCCAACCACCCTCCAGTTAGTTCCAAAAAAGGAGACAAAGGTGCCATCCCGCCCAAAAGTCCATCTGAAAAGGGTAGACGGAGGGGCCAGCTTTCCCGTAAGTGCCCCCTGTACAAGGGGGAGAAAAGAGGGCCAGTCTTTCCCTATCCATCTTTAAGGTAACGGAGGTCCAGCTTTCCATAATGCCATCTTTTAAAGGGGAGACGGAGGTCCAGCTTCCAAAAGTTATCCAACTTACAAAGGTAGACAGGGCCGTCTTTCCCGACAGGTAGTCCACTGTAAAGGGAGACGGGGGTGCCAGTCTTCCAACAGTGTAGGCCACGTACAAGGGGAAAAAGGGGGGTGCCAGTCTTCCCGGTAGTCCATCTGTACAAGGTAAAAGGAGGGGCCATCTTCCAACAGGAAATGCCACTTAAAAGGGAGACGGAGGTCCCTCTTTTAGACAGTGTAGTGCCATCTGTATAAGGGTAGATGGAGGTGCCAGTCTTCCAGTGTAGTGCCATCTGTACAAGGGTAGACGGAGGTGCCAGTCTTCCAGACAGTGTAGTGCCATCTGTACAAGGGTAGACGGAGGTGCCAGTCTTCCAGACAGTGTAGTGCCATCTGTACAAGGGTAGACGGAGGTGCCAGTCTTCCAGACAGTGTAGTGCCATCTGTACAAGGGTAGACGGAGGTGCCAGTCTTCCACTCTACTGTTCGAGTACACAAGAGTTACCTGTGCGCCAGTAACAAAGGGTGATAAGGAAGTCATGTATAACTAATCTTATCAAGGGGGTGGGGGATGGGAGGGGAGAGGTTAGGGGGAAGGGTGGGGTTGAGGGGTAGGGGAGGGGAGAGGTGCGGGTGGGGTGGGGGCGAGTGGAGAGGGGAGGGAGGGGAGGGGAGGGGTCGGGAAGGGAGGGGAGGGGAAGGGTGGATTAGAGGGGTGTGGGGGAATGGTCATTGATGCCAACAGGTGATGTCTCTGAGTAACTCGTATCAGACTCTAGTAAGTTTATTTAGATACAGGTACACATAAGTACAATTATTATACGTAGTGTAAATTACCCACCAAGATAACCCAAAAAAGTCAAAGTGACTTGTTTCCATTGGGGCCCTTGTAATATTATTTAAAACTTAAAAGTTAAAACAGCTAAGTAACTCAACTATGTAAAAATCGGTTACGATAAAAGGAGATATACTAATAATAAGATAAACTGATCTGAGAGGGTCAGATCACAGTAATAAATATACGAATGTTAACTATACAATAAAATCACTCTCCTCCATTTCTGTAGCTTCATTCAGTAGGCTCCATTCAGTAGGCTCCTTTTAGCTCTTCCTGGTGGCCTGGTGGCTAAAGCACTCGCTTCACACACGGAGAGCCCGGGTTCGATTCCCGACGGATGGAAACATTTCGACGCGTTTCCTTACACCTGTTGTCATGTTCATCTAGCAGCAAATAGGTACCTGGGTGTTAGTCGACTGGTGTGGGTCTTATCCTGGGGGAAAAGATTGAGGACCCCAATGGAAATAAGGTAGACAGTCCTCGATGACGCACTGACTTTCTTGGGTTATCCTGGGTGGCTAACCCTCCTTCGGTTAAAAATCCGAACGAAATCTTATCTTATCTTATCCTGAACCGGCTCATTCTATGACTGACTTTGACATGTATTGCTGTATAATATAATATGTTTGAAGCCTGACCACCTACTGTGGGTACTACAAAGTTGTGTCCTTCACTCTAGTACTATACTAGCTTGGTTCCCAACCTTGACAAACTTGGCAGCAAGATATTCTGGACACTGTGAGCAATTTTATAAACGTGATTTAACATCAGTTGTTTTACTTTGTCTTCAGTATTCAGCATATCCAGTTGTTGTAATTCATCCTGGCCAACATGTTCTCTTGGTCCCAGGTCCAGGATAAATTTTACCAGTTTGTTCTGGGTGATTTGCAGTCTGTCTTTAAGTTTTTTGTAAGGCAGAGTACCATGAAGAGCAAGAGTAATCTATATGGCATTGTATAAGTGCTAGACAGGGTCCTGCGAGCCTCAGTAGGTAGACACTGTGTTTGTCTGTAGAGGAACTTGACTGCACTGTACCTTATCAGTTCTCCTGACATACTTGGGTCAAAGGAGATTCCCAGATATTTCACTGAAGATACTGAAGTGATGGGTTCCCCATTACACCTTCTCAGTTATGTTTCGTGCCAGAGAGTATAGCTTCCGTTTTCCCGAGGTGTAACGATAGTTTGTTGTCT